GGAAGGAAGGAAGGAAGGAAGGAAGGAAGGAAGGAAGGAAGGAAGGACCGTGGTGTCACAATGGTTAGAGCACGCTCCTGCAGGCTACTTCTGCTGACTGCTGGCTGTCTGCTATTTGGCAGTTCAAATCTCACCAGGCTCCAGGATGACTCAGCCCTCTGTCCTTCCTTTAGTTCACTAAAATGAGGACCCAGGTTGTTGGGGGCAAGAGGTTGACTCTGTAAACCGCTCAGAGAGGGCTGTAAAGCATTGTGAAGCAGTATATAAGTCTAAGTGCTATTGCTATTGCCCTCCCTCCCTCCCTCCCTCCCTTCCTTCCTGTGCAGTGGTTAGAAGGCAACATTGTGGACTAAGTCTGTCCACAGCCAGGAGTTTGATCCTGACTGGCTCAAGGTTGACTCAGCCTTCCATCCTTCTGTGCTCCATAAAATGAGGACCCAGATTGTTGGGGCCAAGAAGCTGACTCTGTAAACTGCTTTGAGAGGGCTGTAAAGCACTGTGAAGCAGTATATAAGTCTAAGCGCTATCTTCCTTCCTTCCTTCCTTCCTTCCTTCCTTCCTTCCTTCCTTCCTTCCTTCCTTCCTTCCTTCCTTCCTTCCTTCCTTCCCTTCCCTTCCCTTCCCTTCCCTTCCCTTCCCTTCCCTTCCCTTCCCCTTCCTTCCTTCCTTCCTTCCTTCCTTCCTTCCTTCCTGTGCAGTGGTTAGAATACAGCATTGCGGACTAAGTCTGCCCACAGCCAGCAGTTCGATTTTGACTGGCTCAAGGTGGACACAGCCTTTCATCCTTCTGAGATCCATAAAATGAAGACCCAGATTGTTGGTTGATTGATGAGTTTCCGTCCGTTGCGTCTTGCCCTTCCCTCCGGGGCTTTGGAGAGTAGCTTGACTCCCTCCTCTTTGGGGCAGCCCCTGAGATTGTCCAATCCAGTCGGGACCTTCCCTGCCCCCTTGTCTTGACCCAATTGATGAACAAACGTATCTGTTCGTTGATGTATAAGATTTTTACAGCCGCCCAACTTCAGCAAATGTGGGCATCTCAAAAGTGGAACAAGGGCCACTGTTTTCCCCAGGGAAGAAGGGACCACGGATGTCAGTCTTCAAGATCTTCTACTTCTGCTTTGCCTCTTTCGGCTGCCATAAGTAACGGGGGGTGGTGGAGGAGGGGGGACAAGTATGGGAAGCGAGCTGGAGGTGGTAAAACTCAGCATTGTATAAACTGAGGAGCGGGGGAGAGTCCATCCTTGCTTAGGTTTCTATTTCTTGCTTAGCTTTCTCTTCTCTGGGCAGCTGCAAACCTTTATCAAACTACGCCAAGGTCAACGGACAGAAACTTCATCACCACCTGATATGATGATATTCACAACTTTTAATTGGAAGAACCATTTGCACTGTTGGGGGTGGGAACCTTGCCATCACTTTGTATATGTGATTTACGCGCCTATTTCCTCAGATTCAGAATTCTTTGGTTGCTAACCACTTGACTTCCAGTAAAAGACATCTTTTCTCTAATTAAAGGAGTCTAAGGATTTCTTTCTCGGATTTTGAACGGAGCACCAGCTGACAATGGATTTTTCCCTCCCGTTCAACGCTGTTTTTTTTCCCCCCTCCCTGCAGGTTACGAGGGGGTCTACTGCGAAATCAACACGGACGAGTGTGCCAGCAGCCCCTGCCTGCACAATGGAAACTGCGTGGACAAGATCAACGAATTTGCCTGCGTGTGCCCCGTGGGTAGGTGCTGGGAGCGGGGTGAAGGGCGGGGGGCCTTGGAGATGACGATCAATCTTTGCCTATAGCATATAGAACCCTTTGTAGTGGAGACCGGGCTGGAATTAATCCCTGGCCCAGAGGCCATGCGGAGGCTGGTGGGCTTAAGCCCAGCTCAGGCGGGCAGTCGGGGAAATGGCCGAAGCAGTGCTGGGGAGAGGGGGATCGGTTTGTTTTGGGCACGACAGAGGAGAAGGACGTGTGCTGGGGAGGGGCTCTTAAAAGGTCTAAAATGTACCCCCACCCTCCTTCAAGGATCACTACTATGAGGCACGATTGGGAGAGAAAGCCTCCATGTCCAGCAGCTGTCTATCCCTGGATCCCCTCAGAAGGGTGGGGAGAGGCCCAGGGAGGGGCAGGTGTTACTTTTTAATGCACTTTTTAGAACAGTGGTGGCCACAAAGAATTGCAAGGATGTTGTCACAGCGTCTTCGGTGGTCCCTGGTTCTTTTTTTGGGGGGGGGGAGGGGCTGTTTTCATTTCGGGGGTCTCGGGTGTCCTTCATAGAGGAAGCCTGGAATGGGGGCTGCGCTCCGTAGTGTTTCGTGGACAGGGAAGAAAAGAGAAATCAATCAATCAATCAATTTATTGCAGTCTTAGATCAGAGACGAGAACAGCTAAAAATGCTCCTCAAATATACAAGTAAAAACTCTAGTGTAAAATAATAAATCACAACTAAAAACTATAATAAGATCCAGAAAAGGGGAAAGGGGTTTCACTGGATTTTTATCCCTTTGGGGCCAGCCCAAAATTGGAGGGGACGGGGGGCTCAGAAGGGAGGCGGAAAGCAACGTGGGTGAACAGAGCAAGTGGATAATTAGAAAGAAGAGGCTGTGAATTGCTGGCATGGCGCCTTGTCCCATCGCCGGCTTTGATTTTGCTGTTCAGAGAACCCGCCTTTTCCTCGGAATTCGAATGAGGCTCTGCTTTAGGTCGATCCCCTTGGAGTAGGCTGGGCTCACCTGAGAGTCACCCCTAAGTCTTCTCAGCCCAGGCCAACATTATAAGCCCTGTGCTCTTCAGACTCTTAAAACCTCTCTTCCTCCTGCAGCCATGGGATTCATTCAACAACAGCAGTGATTTGCTTAATTACAGCCAAAAAATAAAATAAAAAATCCCACTCAACCATTTCCTTGCTTCATCAATGGAAATTCTGCTTCCAACGTTGGCCATAACTTGAGAATTCCCCGCCACTTCTCCCGAATTATGCTTATTCCTAACGTGCGCTGGGAATGCACCTCTGGTTTAGTGATAACTGTCAGGATTCCAGCAATCGCCCTAATTAAATCACGATTCTCGAGCCAAACTTCAAAGAACTTCCAAGGATTCACTAGAGGCGACATTCTGACACTGCCCTGTATGAAGCCAACTCTGGCACATGTCATTTACAGTCCCCTGTGGCCCTGTTTCCCCCTGTCCCCCTCCGGGTGCGTCATCAATCAGATTCTCCAATTAAATCTATTCTCGGACAAAAGCTCTGGTATTTTAGTGGCAACCTTTTAAAGAGAAGAGTTGGAATGTGCTTTCGTTTTGCTGCACGGCTCTTCCAGATTTCCTTCCTCCCTCCCCCCCTTGTTTTTATGGCAACCACTAAAACAGGCATAGGAATGTTTTATGAGTTGACAATAACAAGGTTAGCGATTTAGCGGTACAAGTGGCGCAACGTTCTTGGCACCTTCTACCTCTGGTTTTAGTGTCCGCCTGTGCTCAAAAGCCTCTGGGATGCTGACTTGGGCATCCCTGAGCTGAAAGTGAGGAAGGAAAGGAGGCCACGTGGATGTTACTCTGCAGGGCTGGGATTCAAAAATCCCAGCAACTGGTTCTCTGCCCGGTTGCTGGGTGGGCATGGCCGTGGTGGGCGTGGCCTACTGGAACGTCCTACCGACAGGCTAGCCGGTTGATGTAAATTTGACATCCGGATCGCTCGAACCGGGCCGAACCAGCCGAATTCAACCCCATTGCCACGTCCATTGTGGCCACACTGATTGCAGCCAATATACACACACACACAGAGACAGTTTTCTTCTCTGCAGAGAATTAAAAAGGGGGACAATTTGGGGGGTTTATACCTGCCTCTTCTTTTTTGGGACAGCAAAGAGTTTTTGGGAGCCCCCCTTCTCCCTGGGAATAGCCAGCTAGGGGGGACACTGGAGGTTGTGGGGTAGAACAAGAGGACGGGGAGGAGGGGCAGCTCATTCATAAAACGGCTTTGAAGCGGAGTCTTTAGAGATGTAAATCCGGAACCTTCAGCGCTGCAGCAGCCAAATAACTATAGCAGCGATCTAAGAAAGAAAAAGGAAAAGAAAAAAAGACTGGGGGGATTGAATGCCAAGGAATCACCGAAAGAGATCTTGAAATAAGTCTGCCTGCAGCCTGTCCCACCCTTGCACGGGAAATGCAGCCATTGCAGGTAGAGTGTGTGCATGTGTGTTTATAGGAAAGAGTCATTATTACAGCCTCATTTTTATGTGTAGTCTGGCTGTGAGAGTAGCAGAGTCAATCGGTCGAGAAGAGCATTAGAAACATTCGTGTAAAACTAGGCTCCAACGGGCGGGTAATTTGGTGGTTTAGTTGTGTTCCAATATCTAAGGGGTTGCCACATAGGATGGGGAATTAAATTATTCTCCAAAGCATCGGAGGGCAGGACAAGAAGCGACAGATGGAAACTCATCCAGGAGAGAAGCAACCTGGAATTAAGGAGAAACTTCCTCACAGGGAGGACGATGAACCAGGGGAACTATTAATGCTTTTCTCCAGAACTTATGAGTGATCCAACATTGGAGGTTTTTTTTAAAAAAAGAGATGGGACAGCCATTTGTCTGAAATGGTAGATGGTTTCCTGCCTGAGCCAGGGGTTGGGCTAGAAGATCTCCAAGGTCCCTTTAGCTATTCTCTTATTCTGTTTTGCAAGTGCTTGTTTTGAGACGCCGCCTTGGGCCGTGAGGTTGTTTTGCAAAGGGGTAACTGGGAAAGGTTTTGGCAACGAAATCCACATTTGGGGGCCTCTTGGTAACCCAGTAGGATTAGGATCCCAAACATCTGGATTTCAGTCTTCACCCGTCAGAAAAAACGGACAGCGATGAGCAAAAATTAGGCAATTGTCAGCCCTGCAGGGTCAGTGGCCACATTTTTAGTCCTGTCGTGAAATAAAATCCCTGTGTTGGCAAGGCCAAAAGTGAGGCGAGGGAGGCCGGTGGAAACACGGGATTGCCGTTATTACAGCCCAAAGTGGAGGTGTAGTTATTGCTGAGAAGGCAGGAGGACGTGGGACGTCCCAATGCCATGCCCTCACCTGACTTCAGTTTCACTTCCCAAGATGCTTTTTGAAGCAAAGTCTGTCATCTCCACCTCTGTAACTGGTTTGGCTCTGCAACCCAACAGGACAGACCCAGACTTCGGAGGATAATTAGGACCGCAGAAAAAAACAATGGCTACCAACCTGCCTTCCATGGAGGACCCGTATCCTACACGAGTCAAAAAGAGGGCTTTGAAAACATCTACAGACCCCTCACATCCCGGACATATAAACTGTTTCAACTCCTTCCCTCAAAACGACGCTATAGAGCCCTGCACACCAGAACAACTAGACACGAGGAGAGTTTTTCCCCAAACGGCATCCCTCTGCTAAAGAAATAATTCCCTCAACACTCTCCAACTATTTACAAAATCTGCACTACTATCACTATCAATCTTCTCATCACTCCTTATCGCCCATCCCTTCCCACTTGTGACTGTATGACTCTAACTTTGTCGCTTGTATCCTTGTGATTTATACGGACTGTTTCCTAGTATGATTTGATTGCTTATTGTACCCTATGACTATCGTTAAGTGTTGCACCTGATGATTCTTGACTCTTGACGAATGTCTCTTTTCGTTTATGCACACTGAGAGCATTTGCACCAAAGACAAATTCCTTCTGTGTCCAATCACTCTTGGCCAGCCAAGAATTCTACTCCACTCCATCCAGTCCACTCCATTCAAAGTGGGAAAGGGATTCTTCTGAATTTTCCAGGTTTATCTGCAGGAACCGTCCGTCATTACTAAAACATAATTTTGGGCTTCAGCTGATAGAAAAGTGTTGGTAGAAAAAGCAGAGCGAGCGAGCGAGCGAGCGAGAGAAATGCCTGTCATTTCCGATCCCTGTTTGTTTAGGGAAGATATCCCTGTGAAATATCTGCGTCTGTGTGTGACGGGCTGAAAAAGTTCCCCACCGGGGTTCCAAGGAGGGGGGGTGGGGGGGGTTGGGGGGGGGGTGGGAGGAAGTTGGAGTTGAGGCATCCTGGCTCAAACCTGCGCATTTCTTCTCTCCTAGGGTTTAATGGCCACCTGTGTCAACATGACATCGACGAATGTGCTAGCACACCCTGCAAGAACGGAGCCAAATGCGTGGACGCACCAAACGCTTACATGTGTGAATGCACAGAAGGTAAGATTTAGTGTGTGTGTGTGTGTGTGTGTGTGTGTGTGTGTGTGTGTGTGGGCAAACCAGAGGAAGCCCATTAGGTGGCAGCTGGCTGGTCTTTTCCAACAGTTCTATTGGGGACAGTGAAAACAAGCACCCTTCCCTGATGAAAAGCCACAGGGAAAAAATACGATGCGTTGTTAAAAGGTAAAGGTTCCCCTCTTTGCACATACGTGCTAGTTGTGCCCAGCTCTCCGTCACAAAGCCGAAGAAGAAGAGCCAGCGCTGTCCGAAGACGTCTCCGTGGTCATGTGGCCGGCATGACTAAACACCAAAGAAGGCGCACGGAGGAACGCTGTTCCCTTCCCACCAAAGGGGGTCCCACTATTTTCCTACTTGCATTTTTTACATGCTTTCGAACTGCTAGGTTGGCAGAAGCTTCTGGGACAAGGAACGGGAGCTCACTCCGTGACGTGGCGTTTGGGATTCGAACCGCCGAACTGCCGACCTTTCGGATCGACAAGCTCAGCATCTTATCCACTGAGCCGCCACGTCCCTTAGGATGGGACGTTAAGCAAATGCAATTTTCTTTTTTTTCATTCACATTTTCACATTTTTCTAACTGTGACCCTCACAGCTCTGGGGTGGGGGGGGGGGGGGGGGAGGGGAAAAACCGGGGCAGAACCGGGGGTCCCTCCCCCCCTCTGAGCTTTACTGCAGAGGGGGGAAAAAGGGGGGGTTACGATCTGGGTAACTGACTTGGGGGACATTTCTCAGGGTGGGGTGTGGCTGTTCCCTTTGATTTTCTTCCTAACCCAGTCTCGGTTTAACGGGCAGGATGCGCATTGCAGATACGACCGGGGAGGGAGAAAGAAATCCGTATCTGTTGTCGTTATGGAGAATTTCGCAAATATATCCCCAACGAGGAAGAACGAAGGAGCGTGATTCTCCCAAATTGCTCCTTTCAAAAACCCTAAACAGAGGGAGGTCTTGTTTGGTGACCCACGAAGCCTGCGGGAGGGTTTAAAACTTGTTCTAACTTGAGGGAAATCTCTCTCTGTCTCACACACACACACACACACACACACAGACACACACATGCCCAGGCTCCCTTGTCTCGTGGGTAGGCCCCGGGCACCAGCTGTTTACAGAAGGCAGCTTCTGGCCACGTGGATGGGGAACAGCACCGGCATGGAGACCACATGCTGACCGAAATGATGAGCGTAACTCCGGCCCCCGGGCAGATTTTTTTTCTGCCTCTCTCTCTCTCTCAAACTCTTCTGCAAACATCTGTTGCATCGCCGGCCCCCTTTCCTGCCCGACGGGGACTGAGGGCATCCCGAATTCAGTTTTAAAGTTCAGCGCTGTCTTTAAAAAAATCACCCCAAGTGGCAGCAACTGAAAGAAAACCAGGCCTAAAAGGAGGCCTGGTCGGGAGGAGGAAAGGAAGAGAAAAATGGGGGAGAAAAGAAACGCAGTTCTGTGAGGGGAGCCGCAAAAGCTGAAGCCGTGAGCTGAGGAGGAGGAGAAGGAGGAGGAGGAGGAGGAGGGAGAGAGCGGCCAAATCCTTCCTCCCGGCTCCATCCGGAACTTTCTCCATCCCCAGCTTAAAAACAAAACTGCCGTTTTGGGCTAGTCAGGGAGCCCTCGGTCTCCGGGCAGGAGAACGGGGTTGAGCCCAGGGCCGAGAGGGCGCCGGTGGAGGGAAACTTGAGGCGCCCTCGGACAAAACACCAGCCCGGAGCCCCCTCAGCAGGCAAACAGAGGGACTTTGTGGGGCCGGCCGGCTGCCAGCGGCTCTTCCCTAATGAGCGCCTCGGTTGGGCGGCAGCGGCGATGAAAAGCCGCAGTGTGGGCTTCCCGGGGGGGGGGGGGGGGGGGGGGGGGGGGGGAGGCCGGGCCCGTCAAAGGCCCACTTTGTCTGTCCGCTCGGCTCCCTCCCTCACTACCCGCCAAACCCTTCTTGCTTTTGTCCGCTGGCAGCAGCGGGAGGAGGAGAAGGAGGAGAGAGACAGGGGCTGCTGTTGTCCTCTTTTGAATTCGCTGCGCCCCCCCCCTCCCCTCCCTCTCACCCCCCCACCCCAAAAGCCGGATCCAGACAGGCAGGGAGGAGAGCCCAGAGCCAGAAGAAAAGCGGTGGTCTTTGCCAGAAGACGCCAGCTGGGGTCCTGTGCCCTGGCCTGGCAGCCTCCCTGCCGCCCGTCCCGTCCCCTGAAGCCTCTCTATGGGGCCACCAGGGGTACGGAGGGGGCGGCAGGCCTGCCGTGAACCCCCCAAAGCCCGAGCAGAAGCCACAGTTAGCAAGTTTGCTCGGAAGGAGGGGGAACTCGCTCTGGGTTCCCCAAAAAGCTACAAAACACAAGGTGGCAAAAGTGCCCATTTATCCGGAAGAGTCCGATGAGGTTGTCCACCCCCGGGACCGTTTCTTGTTTTGGGTACCCTGGTTTTGTTGCCAGCAGCGCCCCCCCTTCCCCCGCCCCAGGACGGGTGGGGACGAGAGGCAGAAACAAGGATGGCCCTCTTCTCTCTCACACAAGCTTTCCACCCCCCCCCCACTGATTAATATTCATTTGAAGGCAAAGAATTGGGCTTTTCGACGTGGGACGGAGGTCAGGGGTCCCAGCAAGACGTTGGGGAGGCTGACAAGGGTCACCTCGCTCTCCTCTGGCTGAAGGAGGACTTCGCTCTTCTCCGACTGCCCGCTCTGCCCATTCCTTTCTCCTTCTCACGGACCCCCGTCCTTCTGGCTGGGAACCTTGGGAACTGGAGTCCAGCCTTGTGGGCGGCGGGTGGGCAGCGTTGGGTAGGCAAGCTCATTTCTAGCGGGGTTAAGGACAGCCGGCCTGGGAGTCTCCGTGGAAGCACCTGCAGGCCAGCTGAGCGCCCGATGGGAGGACGAAGGAGGTCCCGATTCCTGTCTTGGCCACCACCTGGAAGAGAGGTGCCTGCTGCTTTTTGGGTGCCACGTGGCAGCTCTTTTGAACCTCTGCACCCTTTCCTTCCTTTTTTTAAAATCAGAGTTGGAAGGTCATCTAGTCCAACCCCAAGCAGGAGACCTTACCCTATTTCTGACAGATGGCAGCCCAGTCTCTTCTTGAAAGCCTCCAGGGATGAAGCTCCCACAACTTCCAAAGGCAACTTCTGTTCTACTGGTTGATTGTCCTCACTGTCAGGAAATTCCTCTTTATTTCCAGGTTGAATCCCTCTCCTTGATCCGTTTCCATCCATTATTCCTTGTCTGGCCTTCAGGTGCCTTGGAAAATAGCTTGACCCCTTCCTCCTCCTCCCTGTGGCAGCCCCTCAAGTATTGGAAGGCTGCTCTCCTGTCTCCCCTGGTCCTTCTCTTCCCTAGACTAGCCAGGCCCAGTTCCTGCAACCGTTCATCGTATGTTTTAGCAAGTTGCTCTTCTCTGTACTTTTTCTAGAGTCTCAGCCTCTTTTTTATAGTGTGGTGACCAAAACTGGATGCAGGACTCTAGGTGTGGCCTTACTAAGGCTTTATAGAGTGGTATTAGTACTTCCCTTGATCTTGATTGTATCCCTCTGTTAATACAATTTAGGATTTCATTGGCTTTTTTGGCTTGCTGCTGGCTCCTATTTATCTGGTGGTCCACTCAGACTCCAAGATCCCTCTCAGAGTTACTGCTATTGAGCCAAGTTTCACCCGTTCCTCTCTGTCCCCCAGGCTTTTCGGGCACTCACTGCGAGACAGACATCAACGATTGTGACCCCGATCCCTGCCACTACGGCACATGCCAAGATGGTATTGCCACCTACAACTGCCTCTGCCAGCCTGGGTACACCGGGCGCCTCTGCGACACTAACATCAACGAGTGCCAAAGCCAACCTTGCAAGAATGGGGGCACCTGCCAGGACAGGAACAACGCCTACACCTGCGTCTGCCTCCGAGGCACGACAGGTAAGGTTCCCCTCTCCGGCCTTTCCACAGAAGGATGGATCAGAGCCATCTTGGTCAACGGTCTGGGATGCCCCATATATTTCCTAACAAACAAAATGTATAACAAAATAAAAGGGTTGTAAGGGTCATCTAGTCCAACCCCCTGTTCCAGCAGGAGAATCTATACTATTCCAGACAAGTGGTTGTCCAGTTTCTTCTTAAAAAGCATCCAGTGATGGAGCAACCACAAGTCCTGAAGGCAGGACGTTCCAGATAAACAGATAATCAGAGTTGGAAGGGGCCTTGTAGGTCATCTAGTCCAACCCAGCCCGCCCAAGCGGGAGACCCTACACCATTTCAGACAAATGGCACTCCAATCTCTTCTTGATGATGCTTGACGTAGAAGGACTAGTGATTTCAGGTCAAAGAAAGAAGCCCTGGAGATGTTTGGGCCTTACCCAACCTCTGGTAGTGCTTGTTTTACAACCGGTTCTTTAGGGATTGTTATGACAGATCCGCCCCCCCCTCAAAAAGTACTGATGACCTGATTCCAGGTCATCAGTAGGAATATAAGACATTCTCTCTTCCCCACCTTTTCTAACAGCCTTTTTGTGACTCAGGAAAGAGGTGGATTCCTTCGCCAATCCAACTTTCACGTATCCCCCTCCAGAATTTGAACCCAGGTTTTGCAAGAAGGTGGTTCCCTTTATCGCCAGCAGGACTCTGGGGAACACCCCCAAATAAAACTTGGCCTGGCAAGGGAAATTCTGGGCCTTACCCCAATTGCCGGTCGTCGCGTAGTATTTTAATTTTGCAACCTCCTGGGCGGGTGAAGGTTTCGCTGGTCATTAGGGGCAGCAGGAAGGAAAGTCCCGTTGCTGCACGAATCGAAGGCTGGCTTCCCTCTTGGTTTCTCTTTCATGGCAGTTTCCTTTCGACTTTGTAAGGTTTCGGCCTGCACAACTCCATCCCTGCATCTCAGCCAGAAAAAAAAATACTTCCTTAAAACAACCCTGAGATTTTTCCTCAGAGCGTCACTCCCTGGGAAACATGAATATCAGTCCCTGGGAAGAAAGGGGGCGTTATGGGGTTTTTTTGGGGGGGGGGGGGGGGTAACACTGAGATTGGAGCCCCTGGAAAGGATCACACTGGACTGGATTCCAACCTCCGCACCGCTTCCCTGACCGCTCTATTCCTTTTTCGAAGGGCCCAATTGCGAGATCAACCAGGACGAATGTGCCAGCAACCCGTGTGATTATGGCAAGTGCGTGGACAAGATCAACGGCTACGAGTGCGCCTGTGAACCGGGATACACAGGTGAGAGAGCACAGCCTCTCCCTCCCACTGGTGGGCTTCATGGCCAGGGGTGGGATTCGGACCAGTTCGGACCAGTTCTATAGAACCGGTTGTTACGATTCTGCGCAGTTCGGAGAACCAGCAAATCGCCCCACCCAGGAGGCTTCCCTGAGGCCCAGTCAAAGGTGGTATTCAGGGGGTCGGGGGAGGGAGACGTGGCCTGAGAGCAGAGCTGGACCTTCCTTAGGATTGAAGCTTCCATTTTTCAGTGCAGGCTCAGGCAGCAGATGGCAGAAAGGTAGATCTCTGAGTGAATCTGTGATTCTGCGAGCAACTCCATCTGCCTACCTGCTTTGCCTGATTTTGGGTCAAAGTTGCTCTTTTCTTAAAATAAAAAATTCAATCTTTCCATATATATTTACAATGTTTACATACAAGCCACGCCCAGCCAGTCACATGACCGCCAAGCCACACCCACAAATTAGGCCATGCCCAGAGAACCGGTTGCTAAGAAATTTGAATCCCACCCCTTTTCGTGGCCCCCGAGTATGCTGACCCAAACCTGGTTCCAAGGGAGCAAACACGAGACAAAGGTAACAGCACAACCTTTTCATGTTTCATTGACGAATCCGGTTCCTTCCCAGATAAAAGGCTACGTCCAACTCATTAGCTCCAATAAGAAAGAGCCTTGCCAAGTTTTTGCAAGGCTGCCAAGAACACCAGATAAAGTTACTAAACAGCAAATCAAAGAGTCTCCAAACACCAACTCAGATATTCTAACGTCCGCCAGGGTCAAGTATCAAACTTCTTTGCTTCCTGCAAAGAACTGCAGTTTCTCAGCTGGCTTTTATCTCCTCAGGGAGGGGCCATTCCCTTGCAGCCTTACTCCCGAGTCGCCTGTGCTGCTGCAGCTGCTCTTTCCTTTGAGCAGCCCTGCACACATGCATGCTGGGCATGGGCTCCTCAGGGTCCTCTTCTGCTGCCAGCCTCCACCATCTCCGAAGGCAGCACTCCACTCCCTGATGGTCCTGGCCCCACCCCTGCATCCTACGCAGGCCCCTCATCCCAGTCCTCGCTCTCCAAGACCTCAGCTGTCCGCACCTGCTGCCGGCGAACCACAACGTTGAGTAAGGGTCCTCACTGCTTCCTCTCTGCTCCTCAGGGAGGATGTGCAGCCTCAACGTGGACGAGTGTGAAAGCAACCCTTGCCACAACGGGGGCACCTGCAAGGATGGCATCAACGGATTCACGTGTCTCTGCCCGGAAGGCTTCCATGACTCCATGTGCCTCTCGGAAGTGAATGAGTGCAGCAGCAACCCTTGCGTCCACGGGAGATGCCATGACGGGCTGAACGGGTGAGCGGCGGGCAAGGCTGCGCCAGGGCAGGAGGGGCACGATCGGAAACCCGAGTGAGCGCTGTGAACCATAAACACCCAAAGCTTTTGCTGTGCTCCAGCATAAGAGATACAGGGCCCTTTGCTGACCTTAAGAGGGACACTGTTGTGGCCTGTTGGCCACCAGTCCCTCCAGCAGCTGAATCGGAGGAGGAGGTGTGGGAGTCAGGGTCAGCATCAGGGCAACCTGAGAGCTCCGAGGAGGAAGTCGGAGTGGAGCTGGCGGGGGGTGGGGAGAGGGGGGGGGGAGAGAGAGAGGGGGAGGCGGAGCCGGGGGTGTCACTCAGCCCTCAGATGGAGAGTTCACAGCCCCCGGGTCTGGAGGGGGCTGCTGAGGAAGAGGAGGAACAGCTGGGTCCAGTGCCTGACGTGTGGATGCGCAGAAGGCAGAGGAGAGGAGAGCAGTGGAAATCTATGGGCCGGTCCTTGGGACGGAAGAGCCACCGCTGCTAGCAAGGCCCTATCTTACCTCTGGGGATAAAAGGCAGGGGGCGGGTAGATGAATAGGTGTGACAGACAATTATTCATCTCACTGCCAGACAGACTTGTTAGCTTGAGTTGAGAGGCAGAGAGAGAGAAAGAGAGAGAGAGAGAGAGAGAGAGAGACCCTAACCCTAACCAATAAGGCCCAATCATGTTAGGGGTTGGCCCTTCCAAGAGCTATTTTTGTCCTTCCAGAAACTATTTTAGATTCACTAAACCATCCTAGAGACGATGCGTTTTTAAGGTTGGTTGTTCACTGCCCTGTAGAGGTGTTTGGGTGGCATCAAGGATTTTTTTTAAAAAAAAAAGAAAACCAGCCCAATCTAATCACTTTGTGCTTTGTCATTTCTCTCTCCTGGAATCAAAGCTACAAGTGCAATTGCGACGCAGGCTGGAGTGGGACAAACTGCGACATCAATAACAACGAATGCGAGTCCAACCCTTGTGTGAACGGTGGAACCTGCAAGGATATGACCAGCAGTTACATTTGCACCTGCCAGGAGGGATTCAGTGGTAAGACCCTGGACTTCACCCACAGTTTCGCCCCCCCTGAAAGTCATGGCAAATTACTCTTCGTTTACACATTGATCTTAAGCTTAGACTAGGGCTCCCCAAACTTGGCGACTTTAAGACTGGTGGACTTCAACTCCCAGAATTCCCCATTCAACCATGCCTGTTATTGTTTTTTCCTTTTTCTCCTACTCCCTAGAGTGGAGAGGTTGCAGAGGAAGGGATTACAAGAGAGTAAGGAAGTCTAGTGAAGCTGGATGGAGAATTAAGGGAGTTGAAGTCCACAAGTCTTAAAGTGGCCAAGTTTGGAGACCTCTGGCTTAGACTAAGTACTCAAGAAAAGGAAGCCAAACTATTATAAATAGATACTATAAACCCTTGACTATAAAGGGGTACCTCGGTCTATAAACCAGACGAATGACCTATTGGGGTCCCCATATCAAAACAACTTACCTTATGTGCGGCCAGAATTTGAAAATAACCTTTAACGCAGTGCAGTGGTACCGAAGCAAAATGGTTTGGTTGAGATCGGCAGGTGATTGGGGTAGATTGCAGGGGTGGCACCGAAATATAATTTTATCATATTTCATCTATATCTTAAATTATTGCATCTTATTCCAGTTCCATTTTAGACTGTATTTTATTCTAATTTCATTTTAAATGATATTTTATTCCGGTTTCGTTTTGAATTGTATTCTATTCCAACTCCATTTCAAATTGCTTTTATCAAATTTAAGTCATAGTTTGTCCCTGGAACTCTGCCCTTTGATAACGGCCCAAGGGCTAATCAATAAATAAAGATTGAGCTATAAATAAATACTATAAACCCTTGACTGAAATGGAAGGGCTTGGTTAAATACCTGTTCGAGAAAGGGTTGACAATCCATATTTGGGGAGGTAGGCCTCCAAAGGGCTTGATCTCAATCTGACCCCGCCAGGTTTTGGGGGGGCAGCCATCAGAAGATCTAGCCCCACATTTCTCAACCTTGATACTTTTAAGATGTGTGGAATTCAACTCTCAACTTGGTTGAGGGAATTCCGGGAGTCGAAAACTTTAAAAGTCACAGAGGTTGAAAAACATCAGTCTAGCCTAAAAGTCTGTAGAGAGATTTCTCAGTCATCCAGGTTATCCCAGAGGTGCCTTTTTTTTCCCCAAGATACAACTGGACTTCCTTGTTTTGTTTTGTTTTGTTTTGACGATGTTTCGCTTCTCATCCAAGAAGCTTCTTCAGCTCTGACAGGGGCCTCATTTGCCACCATTCAGTCGGAGCGGAAGAAGCTCCTTGAATGAGAAGCGAAACACCTTCAAAAGAAAAAAAAACAAGTCCAGTTGCCTCCTGAAAAAAACAAAAATAAAGCACATTTGGGACATCGGTCTAGCCCGCTGCGTCAACTCATAAAATATTTCTATGGTCTTTTTGGAGTTGCCAACAGAAAGGGGGGGGGGAGCAGTGCAGCAGCTTGCAAACCGAAACCGCATCCCATAAATGTTTTCAAAGATAGCAACTAGGTGACCGAAATTTCTGCCGTGCAAAGATCTAACTGGAGAGCCTGATTGATGACTCTGGGCTATGGAGGTGTCCCATTGGAGAATATGAATTATGAATATTCCCCCAGAGGGGTTGGGGGGGAAACCAGGGTCAAGGGTGACAGTGAATGATGTGCCTCGGAGTCGGCTACACCCAGGCAGTGCCGGACATGTTAACTCCCAATAAATCCTTTTGAAGTTTTGGAAGTTTGGCTCGAGACTCGTGATTTAAATGGGCGTAACTGCCGGAATCCTGACACACTGCTGTTCCAGGTTGGGGAAGAACGCTTGGGTGGCTTAGAGGGTCCCCCAAACATATCCCCCAGAAATAGGTGGGACCCCGTTGATGTCCCTTCTCTCTCCCAGGACACAACTGCCAATTCAACATCAACGAATGTGCCTCCAACCCTTGCCTGAACCAGGGGACCTGCATTGACGATGTGGCTCGCTACCAGTGCAACTGCCTCCCACCCTATACAGGTGAGAGAGCCAGTTCTTGGGTGGGGGGGTGGGGTGGGGGCTTCAGTGAGAGAGAAATGTGGCCGTGTGTGTGTGTGTGTGTTTGTGTATGTCCCAGAATAGCTGGGGTGCATAAGTGGGAACAGAAGAACAAACCACACTCACTCCTGGCGTTTCTGCGCCATGAAGGGTATTGACCTTCACGCCAGCCGGTCTCTGGCCACCAAACGTTGCCTGTCATTGATCCAAAGAATAGATCTTCTCTGGGTGGGGGGATCTCTGCTGGAAAAGAGGAGGGGGGGCCGGGGGAATCCATCTAATTCCCTGAGGAGTCCTGAAACCTTCAGGGCAGTTGCTGAATGGCCTTTCCCAAATATAGGTAGTCCTTGACTTACAACAGGTTGTTAGGGACCGTTCCACCAACTTTGCAGCTTTGTGGGGCTTAGCTGGGGTGGGGGAGAGGGGAACCAGGCCGCACAAGCATCGAACTGGCACACATATGCACACATATATGCACAGCTCAATCTACGCAAGCATCGGGCTGGCATGCATGCACGTGCAACTCGACTTGCTGAAATTGCGCTGCATGCATGTGCTTGCACACACATACACACACACACACAGGCCCACTGGTTGAGCTGTGTGTGTGTGTGTCTGCTGGCCCACCGCTCGTGCAGCCCGGTTCCTCATTGTCCTGGCAGTGAGCCGCAGTCTGGGTGTTGGGGACCCCTGACTTATGACCGTTTCCCACACTTGTGACTGTTGCAGCCATCCCCCCCAGGGTCCCGTGTTCAAAATTCAAGATGCTTGGCCAAGCTGACTCTTGTTTATTTTTACTTTTTTTTTAAATAAAAAAAGAACTTTTTATTTTGACAACAAACACAGACAAACACAAACCGTCAAATCAAGCCATCTTTCCATAGACAGTGTGTCGGTTTGTCCGTATCTCTTGTGTACAATATCAACAGTCTTTTCCTCCTAAATTTAAATTTAAATTCGTATGATGCGAATCAGCTATCCACCTCATAGCATATCACTATCAAACCATTATTAGACTTCGATTGTAAATTCACGTCACCCTTTTCGAGCAAATCTCAACTTTTACAATGCTGACTCCTGTTTATGACGCTGGCAGCGTCCCAGGGTCACGCAGCTTTCCAGAAACAAAGTCAATGGGGAAAGCCAAATTCGCATAACGACCATGTTATTAACTTCGCAAGCCGCGGGGATTCACTTAAGGAACTGTTAGCACGAAAGGTCGTAAAATGGGGGAAAAAAAACCCCTCGCTTCAGATAAGGCAAAATTCAAGAGGCGCCTCTGTTGTTTTCCTGCCTCCAAATGTTAGGATAGAAACTCACAGGACGAGATTTGCTTCTTCCCCTAAGTTTTCATCCACACCTTTTCTCCGTTGCCCCACCTCAGATTTTTCCCTCATGCCAACATCTGGACCGGGGGAGGGAGAGGGGGTTGGGCTAGATGACCTACAAGGCCCCTTCCAACTCTTGTTTATTCTGTCATTTATTTATCTCCTGCCCCAATTGTGGCCCTTTGGGGCAAAGGGTCCCTTTTTGTGTTTTTGCAAACTTTGCCCGTTGGCCCTCCCTTTCGGGACGGAGGCCCCTTGCATCAC